ATATTTTTCGTCAAATTATCCCCATCAATGAATTTTTCAGTGCTGTTAAGAACGAGATATAATGTGAGCTCTTCCAGATTTAACATTCGATGTAGAAGCGGAACAATTAAATCCATATAATAATAAGTACCATCATCACATGTTAAAGAAAAACACCTTAAATTAGGAAGTTCTTCCTAAATAAAGACAGAATAATAATTATATTGTCATTATCACAAGCAAATATTTATTTTGATACTAATTTTCATGTCTTTGTATATTAACTTACTTCATTATTGATCACCATAAATGAACGATCAATGAAACGAATAGTAACATAGAATGTACGAAGTTGATTGAAATGACCATTAAGTAGATAAAGACAATCTTCGAAATTTTCCAAATTAATATATAATTCTGTTAGAGTTGAAGAAAAAAAATTTGGAGATTTTCTATCGAATGATAAGTAATGAGGATTTATATTTGAAAATGAACAGAAATTTAAATAAAGTAAATTCGTGAAAACAGTAAAGACATACATATATATTGTTATTATTAAATCTTTCATTGATATTTCATTTGTATTGTTAGCCACTGTAATAATTAATTTATATATCTGATTTTTATAGATACGAGTTAAAGCAATTTCATCTAAATATATATGTATAGAATTATTAAGAAAAAATGTCATCATTTTTATGATTGATTACATTATGATATTCATTCTTTCTATATTTTCTATTTCATTTTCGTTTAACAATTTTATAACGTGAATGTTTTTCTTCTTCGAAACTAAATCAGCAATATTAGACGGATAATCGATGATTGACTATATCTCTCTACGTCATTATACTTTTTATCTTTAAAAACCTTTCAGAGAAATCCGATTGAAAACATTAAAAATCGCTTGTTAAATATTTTCCAGTTATCCAAATATTTATAGTTAAATTGTACTTTTTTCTTTCTTTTTATATTCTACATATAAATCTTCCTCTTGATGATTTTATCCTCATTTCTGTTTCAAGTCAAACATCGATGAAATAAAACATTATTCTCATTCGAAAAAAAGAAATCCCATGAAATAATTCAATCATACTAAAAATTTACAAAATGAATTATTTTTATCTGCAAATACTTCTTATATTTTAATGATCGCGAGGATCATTGTAAAAATACTTACCAATAAATAAACGTTTAAATGTTTCTTCTTCAATATTGTACAATCCAAGACAATTTAAATTAGGATAATCAACAATACGAAGAATATGTTTCATAGATGATGACTCAATATTAAGCCATTTGATTTTATAATGTATTTGAGGTAAGATCTGTAAACAAAATCGATCAATTATTCTATCATTTAGTGGACAGATTACATCATCGGATGATCTTTGAAATAATGTTAAATAACGAGTAAAGATTTGATCACATATAATTTTATTGAATCGCATATTAACATCAATTAAAGAACAGAATACATCAATATTGTTCAATTTCTTAAAAATAATTATAAGTAACTGGTCTGGCAGATCCATCAGTTGAACAGATAAACGTTCCATATTCGTATTCAATGACTAAGTATTCTTCAACTATATGTATCAACAACTGTATACATGTACACTTATTCCATTGTTACACGTAATGTTGGTGCAAACAATAATGTATGTATTCTATGATATGAATCGACAATGAATGAATCACTTTCTTTGTTTTTCATTGATTTGACAACTCTCATCAGACGGACATCTCTCACAGTGAAGGCTCAAAAAAGCATGCATATTTTTATTTTGTTTAAGCCCCCACCCCCACAGTGGGCAGCCAGGTGACAAAATCGATATTCGGGATTCGAACCCATATCGTAGCTAGCATTGAAGCTACTATGGTCATGCATTTAAGTGCATCTTGGATCCCGTTCTATAGCGAGTATGTAGTAAATAGCAGGTACCACAACGTACGTAAAATAGGTGAATATCATTAATAATACATATAAGTAAAATGTGTGTTTTAAATTAAGGATCTAGTTATATCCGTTAGTTATTATGTAGTTATATAGTGTTATGTATGTACTATATATTACAGACCGCTTGGACTTCTTGAAGATCTTTAGGCTATAATAAGATCAAAAAGTTAGCATCAGTATAGTGAAAAATAGCCACTGGCCTATAATGCAGTTCGTTTGCGAGAGTTTGAATTCAACTTTTAATTTATCGTCTGATAGAATGTGTCATGATCTATCTTCAGTAGATGCGCAAAGAAGCGTCATTAAATCCTTGTCGAGATATTTGACTTTTACAGCATTTTGTAGCACAACACCGTGGTCTCCCCTAAGGGTGTGGGTGTGGGGGGTCGGGGTGTGGGTGTGAGTGTGTGGGTGTGGGGGTGTGGGTGTGGATGTGGCTGTGAGTGTGTGGGGTGTGAGTGTGGGTGTGAGTTTGGGTGTGAATGTGGGTGTGGGTGGGCGGGTGTGGGCGTGAGTGTGGGTATGCATCTTCTTTACGCACTCAGTCACACCCACACCCAAAGCCACAGCCGCAGTCACACACACCTATACACACCCACAGCCACACCCCACAGCCATAGCCACACCCCACACTCACACCCCACACCCACACCCACACCCACATCCACACACCCACGCCGTACCCATAAGTTCTAAACTTGTATTATATAGGGTAACCTTAGTTTTTCAAGTTTCATCGAAACAAGATACCCTTAGATCGTCAACGAATGCTACGAAGACATCATTGCGCTATCAAAAATGACCAAAAAGGGTACCTAGCGTTCTTGGATCCTGCCATAACGCTGATTGCCTGAATAAAATCGAAAAACGAACAAGAATAAATCTACTTCAGAAATAACAGATCAATCCCATCCGAATAATCTATGTATCGGTGAACAAAAGCATAATAGCTCATACATAGACATGTACCAAACCCGAACACCACTTCGAGTTTTGATATCGAGCTTTATGAGATTGAGCTCGAACTCGAAAACAGATACTCGAACTCGATCGCGCTCAAACTCCCAGAGCTCGAACTCGATCGAGCTCAAACTCTGAAAGCACGAACTCGATCGAGCTCAAACTTCAAAGGCTCGAGCTTCAAGCGAGTTCGAGTTCCATGAATCAAGTTTGGATTGAGCTCAGTGATGGCTAAGAATGTGGGGGTCGGTGTGTGTCAGGCTCAACCAAAGGTAATTGGAGTCCAGGAATGCAAATCTGCAATTAGTTTTTCAAAATTTTGAACTTGATTTTTTTCGTAAAACAAAGGCTTTTTTAAGAAAATAACATTTTTTTCATAAGGCTTAACCGAATATGATCGAAGTCGAGGAATCTGAATCTAAAATTAGTTTTTCGAAATTTTGAACTTGGCTCTTTTTCCTAAAAGCACTTGGTTAGCAACAAGTCTCGTTCTAACGCTTAAACTATTCCTTTTGCTAAAAGAATCGTTTTTCTTCGAAAAAAAGAAGTTTTTAAATGAAAAAGTTGCTTCCAGTGTAGGATTATTCCTTCATTAAAAAGCTCCTTCTAGAGAAAGCAATATTTTCCAGTAAATAAGCTCTTTTCAAGTGGAAAACCAAACCCAAAATTTTGCGAGATTGGCTTCAGATTCGGATTTACCGACCTGGATTATCTTCGGTTAAGCCTTATAAAAAAAGAGTTATTTTCTTGAAAAAATCTTTCTTTTATGAAAAAAGTCAATTTCAAAATTTCGAAAAACTCATTTTAGATTCAGATTCCTCGACCTCGATTACCTTCGGTTAAGCCGTGTAACAAAATGTTGTTTTCTTGAAAAAGCCTTCGTTTTACGAAAAAAATCAAGTTCAAAATTTTGAAAAACTAATTGGGGATTCGCATTCCTGGACCCCAATTACCTTTGGTTGAGCCTCACACACCAACCCCCACATCCTTAGCCATCACTGAGCTCAATCGAAACTTGATTCATGGAACTCGAACACAATTGAAGCTCGAGCCTTTGAAGTTTGAGCTCGATCGAGTTCCAGCTTTTCAGGTTTGAGCTCGATCGAGTTCGAGCTTTCAGAGTTTGAGCTCGATCGAGTTCGAGCGTTCAGGGTTTGAGCTCGATCGAGTTCGAGCTCTGGGTGTTTAAGCTCGATCGAGTTCGAACTCTGGGAGTTTGAGCTCGATCGAGTTCGACTGTCTGTTTTCGAGTTCGAGCTCAATCGAGTTTCCAAGTTCGAATTAAAATCGAGCTCAATCTCATAAAGCTCGGTATCAAAACTCGAAGTGAAATGCTGGTTTGGTACATCTCTAAGCTTTAACAATTGAATAGGGTGTGGATGTAGATGTGAATGGGTGCGGCTGTTGGTGTGGATGAGGTGTGAGTGGGTGTGGAAATAGATGTGGGTGTTGGTGTTGGTATTAGTGTGGAATGTGGGTTTGAGGATGTGGGTGTTAATGTATTTTGTATGTCAGTGTGCGTGAGTGTGATGTGGGTATGGATTGTCGCTTGATTTGGGCTGTGACCATGACTGTTGATTAAAATGAGAGCCACACCTATACCAGCATGCCATCACTAGGACCCACGTTCACACCAACCACAGTTCACACACACTTCTATCGTTTTCTCAGCCGATTCGAGTTATTTTCGAGTGAAAATATGGAAATAGACAATGAAAAAGCATAGAGCCAAATAGATAAGGCGTACCACTCAACTCTATCAGCGACCTTTATCTAATACCTTGATGCGTTTCTTTGTTTTTGGTTAGACTAAAAAATAGTGCATTGTGTTTTCACCTTTTGATTTCGTACGTTCTCTTATCTCTGCCTCTTAAAAATATATCATAAATGTTATTGGTCTTCACTATGTTAATATAAGAATACGAAATCAAGCTTCGGGACATGACCTTTAATGCTTTTCGAAGTGAGTTTTACAACTGCATGTATGGCGATTATGGCGTACCACATCTGTGGACATTTAAGCGACTTCCAGATGTAAATTTGGATAATCCAGAATGCGAACCTATTGAGTCATTCATTTCTGGAAGGTGAGAATCGCTAAGTTTTATTCACAAAGTCGGTGGTTCGCTAATGTCTTGAGAAATATGGACATACTACGACGTTCTTTTTGAAATTTTTTCACATCAGAATCTTATATAGATCTTACTAAGAACTTGAAACAAACTAATGTTTGCACCTTTTCATAATAGGTTTCGCTGTGAAAATGCGCGAAAGAATGGTCCTCTTTCCATACCATTTTGTTTCAATGTCGCATTGATGAGCACGATATTGGTCGAGTTGAAATGAAACAATGGGGAGAGCAATGCAGAGAATGTCAGGAACCCAATGATCAGCGCCCGTTCTATGATCCGCACTATGATTCAGATGGAGTAATACGTGCAATTCAGTTTCTCTCTAAAAAAATTATGGAATTAATTTACAACTATCGACGTGTCGGAAAACTCCGCAAAAGACCGTTTCAAATGCCTGCTCATATAGCAGAACTGTGTGAAGGATGTAAACGTGGTTATTGTCGAAGAAGATGGCAACAAAACATACAATAATGCTCAAAATTACAACAGTAGATACTAAATTCAATTGGTCTGCTAGCGCATCCACTTATTTTCACAACTGATTGATTTATTCACGTTTTGAAATTCATATTTACTGTATCAAAATATGCACAGAAATTGCGCTACACTCATCCCTTTTTAGCTATGCAGGATATCATGAAAAATGACCCTATCTATTGTTTAGAGTCATTCCACAAATCTTTTGTATGATTCACTTTATACCACCTGTGCCCCCAAATTGTTGGATGTACGGTGTAGGTATCGGTGAGGGTGTGAGTATGGCTGTGAGTGTGAACGGATGTAAGTTTTCCATAATATTTCGTAGCAGGGACAATCACATCCATATTCACTCGCACCCCTACCCGCACCCACATCCACTGTGTACAACAAGTTGTATCAACTTTTCGTTAGATTTCGAGTTTTTAGGGACCTTAATAGGTGGAATTTGAGCTCGAGACAAAAGCTTGGGCTGAAATTCATGTAACCACTGTTAACAGGGAAGAATTCAACGGGTACCTACTCAAGACAATTCTTTGAACAGTTTTTTATCATTGATCATATAGAATAGATATAGTGGAAAATCCTGAAAGACAACAAGTAACGTTGGTTGCTTTGACTCATTTGACCCTCAAATGCATAGGGCAGAGGTATTTTCTGTAGATACTGATAGCGACAGAATCAATCTATCAGTTCTATCTCTGAATAGCGACGCAAATTCCACTCGAATTGTAAGTGTAAGAAACAGTTTTGCCTTTTCGTAAAATAAGGATGTGGGTGTAGAGTATGCGTATGGATGTCGGTGAGTGTGTAGGTTGAAGAGGATACCCACACCCATATACCTACATACTTCGATGATGTACAGGCGATGAAAACCTTGATCAAACATAGCATTCCGTTGTAACGACAAAAAACAACAACGATTTGAGCGAATAGAAATAATTAGAGATTTCTTCGTTACAGTCGAGTTTCTTCCGAAGAAATTTCAATACATATGATGCTTGAAGATTCGAAAATGAACTTGTATCGT